GCAGACTAGCACGTTGTAGAGGCTGAGTGACAATTCACTTGTCGCACACAAAATGAGGGCAAGCAAACGCGACGTTTATCAGATGCCTGGGTATACCTCTCACTTCATCCCACTACTCGTGTTCAGCCATGGACAGATAATAGTTGATGAAGTGCACATCAAAGGAGACTCACACGCAGAAAATGGGTTGAAGTAGCAGCTGTGACAAGTGACGTTACCATTGCGAATTCTCCCCACAGTGCCACCTCCAATGCACTGATTAGCAACCTTAGCTCACTTTCCGCAGTGCTGTCAAAAGCTGGTCTCCATCGACCATGCTTTGGGCCTCGCATAATCGCCAAAACAAAGGCTCTTCTCGAGAGCACAAACAAATGTGGTTCCCTCTTGTAGCAGGGATAGAGGAGGTGGCAGATGGAATTACTTGTGCGACATGGCGCATGCGTATCAGTGACTACGACACTGTGACCTCGACTGAGTGCTAGTGGAACCACCAACGGAGCAATCAAAAGGTCGGCAGTTGGGGCTCATCATCTTGGTCAACTCAGCTGGCATAGGTCCACACGGTGGTGTGACATTTGTGCACGAGTTCCGTTTGTGCCTATGGCGATTATGGAGAAGTGGACGAATCGTCTCACCTCAGTCATTTGTTGGCTGAATAAGCGTGTTGGCAGTCAGTCGCTGATGCTGGAGGTGTGGCGAAATGGTCAGGCATAGGGGAGGTGGCGGTGTTGGGCACAAAATGTGCCAATTACGTCTTCATGCCACAACATCGTCACGAGCACGAAGCCTTTCTGCACTCCTTCCAGTCATGCGCCTCACACACAAGGGAAGTTCTCGCAGACCAACGAGTAGTCAAGACGTGCTTTTCAGCGTAGCATCTCCACATGCCAATCACTTTGAATGCCACAAGTTTAAAAGGAACTACGCAAACGCGAAAGGGTATGGCATCACCTACCGAATGTCTGTTGAGGTGTTGTGGATGGTTTGTCACAAGTAGTGGTGGTGGTGGTAGGTGGTCGAGTTTTTAGTTGGCACAAATGGTCAACGCGTTTTCCATAGTCCTGCCCACCGACAGGCCACATTTAATGCCAGTGGTAGCATCCGAATGCATCTGCTCCGCATTGATGCAGGTTGGAGGCCAGCAAGTCTGTTGCCGCATGAGGCAGAGGCGCGACACTAGTGAGTGTGCATGTCACACCGCCGTTAGGTCTACCACGTCACATTCACCAGGGTGACAATGAGCCACAGAGCTAGCAAGACGAATGTGAATGGAAGGTTGAGTAGATCAAAGGAGATGGCCAGCATGAGTGCCTCCGAATGACCTACTGCACTTGTCAGGCCACACCGTTTCTTGCAGCATGAATCGCAGTCTGGAGTTGGTGTGGTGAAGAGAGTTGGCTGAAGTTTTTCTCCGGTGTGGACGTCCTCTGCTTTGACCAGTGTGCATTTGTAGAACGCCTCTACCTTCCAATGGAAGATGCACAAGGAAGTAGGTGGTCGCCACGAGGTGTCAACCTTATTTGCATTCATTTGGGGTGGCATCAGGAGGGGCTACGATGCCTCTGTCAAGTGTCTCTCTGGTCAAAAGCATAACACTGTTGACCACCACTATTTAACTTCTGAGAGGTAGTAGTGGGAGGTGAAGTCGTCACATCGTGGCATTAGCTTCAGACATGCGGCAAATGTTGTGTCTGAGCAGGGCACGAAGTGAAAGCCGACGTGTTTCCCCGAGCTTTCATATCACTCACAATTATGGGTGCCCTTTATGCTTATGCATCCACTTCACACCGTCTGACATTCATTGCGCCTGTCCGCACAATCATTCCGGCAGGCGGCATGGAGTGTCCGCACATGCCACGTCACAACAGCACGACGTGAATGAAATGTCTTGTGTTTCGTTAAGAAACGACGCCTAACTCCCTCGAGATTTCTATCATGTCTACCGTGTTTCGAGCTTTATGCCAAATGGTGTCGGAAGAAACTGTGCCTCATCAAAGGAATTGTCAGTGTATTGCGTGGAGAAGGAGAGTTTTGGCATAAACTCGGTAGTGTGGAGGTGCTAGTGATGACAAAACTGGCAAGGATGTGTGTTATGGAGCAGTGAGTGGCCTTAAGACGCAGGCTTTGTGAGCATAGGGAAGCAACAAATCCAAATATGAGCAACTATCCTCGCCATAAAGACGCCATTCGCAATCGGCAATGTGACGAAATCTCCCTCCTCCCGCCTCCCCAACCAAACGACTTAAGTCCACAATCATGCAATGCTGGCATCAGTTGCAGATGTGCAAGCAGCGTTGTCCAAGCGACGGCCTCGCTTCCACTTGAAGTTACTCATGCACAGTTCGGCACCACCTTTGCGTGCACACATTCGCTGACCGCGTGCACAAGTGCACTCATCTCGCAGGTGCATAAGAGGGTGTGTGCGCTTGGCCCACAGCCTACAGACGACCACATCCGCTCCACCATGTCACGAGGACTTGAGTAACCAAATGACGGAATCATCCTCCTGCCACACCACCAATGCTTTGAAACGCACCACTAAAGCAGTTGGGATGGGCACCGAGAATGTGGAGTGGAATGACAAGGGAGTGTGTTGCATCAGCATTGCCGACTAGTGTTGCAACTCTACAAAAGGGGCATGGTGACATCGAAGTGGAGTAAGCAGCGCCCACGCAGTTAGTGGTCTTATAAAGGCGAGCACACAGGTCAGTCGAATCGTCAGTATTCAGCGTCAACATGAGAGTCTGCAAAGTGCTCCTCGTGCTCGCCCTCACCATCCTTGTCACCACCGATGGAGGCTCATTCATCCCAACCAATGCTTCAGCAACAACTGCAGCAACGAATCCGACCCCAGTGACTGGAGTTGGCCGAAATGCAACGGTACAATCCTCACCGGTGTACAACACATCCCACTCCCGAACAGTCACCGAAAATGCGACAATGTCGACAGCAGTGTCTCAAACGCCAGCCGTCACAACGCAACCAAGCTTGAATACAACAGATGGGACAAAGTCACCTACGGAGAGCACACTACAAACACGCACTACCATCAACGATACATCTGCCCCCGTCACGAAGTCCATGGGGCGAACAGCCACGAAAGACAGGCATCAGACGACAATGCAAACGTCAATGCTCACCATCATACCGCCATCACGCACAACCACCGAGGTTGCAGTAGGATCGACGCCACATTCTCCAATCCCAAGTGACGCAACTCCTCCACCCACTACGTCGACGGTGCAAGTTGCCCATGCAGAGGCGACCTCCCCGATGTCCCTCACCTCGCCATATCCCCCACTCTCTCTCTTCACCGCTCTCCTCCTCCTCCTCCTCCGTCTACTCCTCCTCAACTACTGGTATGAGCCTCTCTAATTCTCAACACACCGTGCCTTCTTCCCTCCCCAATTCTCGCCCTTTGACTTGCTCGCTCATTCACCTCCCCTTCGTGCGTCACTCGATTGCATTCCCTTCTCTGCACTAAACACCCTCATCCCATCAACATTTGCGTTGCCACCACCATTAAACCCACCCATTGTCTCCTTTTCTCCACTCCAACCACCCCCATCCAAGCAATGCAGTTTGTCTCCACACATTGCTTTGTGCTGACTTGACACACCCCATTTGCGCTGACAACGAGAATAATTTGGGTCTCCATGCAGCCTCCACATTGGAGTTGAGCAAGGCATAAGTTGTAGGCCAGTGATACCGCAGTTGCCGAGTGACATCGGATAGTGAAACGGAAACCGACAATAGCACACTGTGTGAGCACGTGGGATTGTGCGCAATCACTTCGTTCCACTGTGTGGTCCAACCTCGTGTGGTGGCCATCGGAACACCTCGTTTGTGTGCTAGATTGCACACACAAGTAAGGCCCGCTGTCAGAATGCTTCTGCTGAAACAGGAGAAGTGGTGAGACGATTGTGTTTGCTTGAGTGCAGCATTTCACTGCGTGCTAATGGTCAAATTGAGTACACTGAAGCACAATAGCGCAGCTGAGAATGTGCATGTTGGCGAGGTGTTGTGTCGAGTCGTTATGTGAGGCACCAGTAGTGCGGAAAGTGCTGATGTCGCGTTGGTGGTCCTGTAAGTAGACCCACTTGCGGTGCGCAGTGAAGGTGGGTCAGTGTGAGGTGGGAAGGGGTTGAGAGGAGCAAAGTGAGTGGCGTATTGGTGGTTAGAGACCTGTGACGACGTTCTGCTTACCCATTTGCACGGACACTTTATCGTCTGAAGTGTTGAAGTCAGATGGGAGAGCCAAGTGAGATGGTGAGAGGAAGAGGTCTGTTAGCAGAACGAAAGTGTGTGATCCTCTGTCGTCGCTGCTCACGTCTGTGATGGAGCGATTAGCACGTGGTGGTGTTTCTGTCTTCGCGTAAATACCTCGAATGACTTGATGGTGTCGAGACAGTCGAGAACTCTAGTGTGACGCCATGGCATGTCGGAGTTGACAATCGAAGTGCGGTGGTATGTCATGTGATGGGAGAAGGAGACAGTCTCCAGGCTTTACTCTGACCCAGTTACTGAGTTCGGGAGGGTGGGCAATGGTTGGGCAGAAATAGCCAAACGCTGACCATGCCATTAGGCGACGCGAAGAAATCAGAGTCATCCCATTGTCATTAGTGAAGTTGATTCGGTCGACCAATTGACCGACCCACACACAGACATTACCACCGACTCAGTCATTGTTGTTGACCATCACCACACCGCTGCAGTGGAGCAGCTGTCTTGCTAACTAACGGAGTGCGTTCTGAGGTGGTCAGGTTTGGCTGGAGGCCAGGTCAGGATTGGTGGTGCTGCGAGAATGCACATTCTTGCTACTGGCCTTCGTCTCTGTCTCAAACGGTGGCAAGTCTGTTGTTGAGACAAACAGGCTGTTGTTGTCGAAGTCAAACGCAAAGGTCAGCTCTCCACACGAGTGGGGAAGAGGAAGACGCCTTCGTCTGTCGTAAGTGCCACTCTCAAGCGGTGCACTCCAGTCCAACCAATGGTGTCACAATGTATCAGTCCTAACCACTTACACAAGGCGGAGGAATAGCGATCGTCGAAATTCTCCATGCGATGCAGAACACTTACACCCCCAAGCCACACCGATTCGTGTGCATTGCACGAGCAACGTGCTACGATTGTCAAACTGCGTCAGCACGAGCATGGACTGAGGAGGCCGAGCGAAGCAGCACCAACTCTACTCCGCTCAGCCTGATAATGGAAGACAAAGAGGCTTTGATGCCGGTCCCCATCCCTCACTCGGAGGCAGGAAAACATCTGCGCTTCAACAAGTGCCACCCTCATGCATCGTGGTGCGCACCTTGTCTGCTGAGTGGGATGAGTTGTTCCATACGACTACCTTCATGCTCGAGGAACGTGGTGCGTTCAGTTGGAGAAAGCACTGACTCACAAGGATGTGCTGAGTTTGTAGACGTGGCCGTCGCTTCACTGGTCGTTAATGTCTTTCATCCCACTATGCTGCATCACTGGCGTCAAGCACGCCGAACTGCACACCACGCCCGTACTCCCCGATAGGAAATCCGTGAAAGCAAAATGCGTCAACCTCGTGTTCAAATACACTCTCACACCCTCTCTTCTGCTTCGGCGTCGTAAACACAAGCATCTAATACAACCGACAGTGTGCCTGTCCAACAGTGTGGACGCTTCACTTTGAAAGGAGAAATGTGTCTGTTAAATGTGGAGTGATTCCAGCGTCGGAATGAAATTCGGTTGTATGTTGGGAATGCAGTTGTGAATTGTTGTCGTACAGCCAAGCTTTGAGGCAAAGCACAAACAGCATGACTCCTGCTTGTGGTGCTGAGCAGCTTTGCGTTTGTTGCACGTGGTGATGGGATTGGACTGGGAAACTGGGAGTTGGCGCTGTCTCACGACGGTTCGGTGTAACTGGCGGACGATTGACGAGTCGTGTGCGTACCAACTAGCAATGCCGAGCTTCATGGTCAGCAATTCTTTGGGGTGGAATTACGCATGCCTCTCCATGATACAATTTTGCACTCCTCATTGGAAATATCAGAGGGAAATGAAGATGGTTGCTGAGTAAGTTTGGTATTTACAAGCAAACTAGGGCGAGTGGAGTGGCATCGATCACGAGACTGTGATAGCACTTCAAAAGCAGGTCATGCGAGAAATCGAAAGAGTTGTACCAACTTTCATCACCACTGGAGGCGAATAACTGTGCAGCATGTGATGTCGCGTGTTTCCGCAGTCTTTCTTTGTTCGTCCACTTGTGGGACAGAACTCAGTCAGAAGAGGTCTGCTTGAGGGAATGGCGAGATCGTCAAACAAAAACACAGGCTGTAAGAATGAACAATCGGTTCGCCTCCACGGAATCCTCCAGCTCACAACTGTGACACTGGGAAATAGTGGTCAATGTTGGCATTCGTATCTTCTTGCTACACTCACTTCCCACTGCGCTTTGCTGACACTGGGACGCAATCACAGACGACTCACTCCTGTGTACAGTGTTGCAAATGCGATGCTGCAATTTGCAGAGTCAGTCAGCACAGCCAGTTCGCCGAACAGAAGCACCCTTCCCACCAACGCTGCCACTCAATTCTGTGGCGCTTTTGAGGGTCACATGTGGAGAAGCGAAGTGTTGAGATGGAGTGGAACAATGACCAGACACTTGCGCCTCAGCCAAGTAACTGAAAACGCACTTGTCCTCGCCACTAAGACAGACAACGAAGAGAGTCCTCCTTTATTGCAGACCCCCTCACCATCAGTTGGAGGGACTGTCAAAGGAACCACTGTGGGTGCGATTGCATTGTTGTTTGTAGGACAAATGAGGAGCAAAGCCTTGCAGCACTGGAAGCGATGGAGGGTTCTACAGTGTGCCAGAATTGTGTGGACCCAACTTTTGAGGAAGTGAAACCTCTGGTGCCTTCTCGGGCACCGAGTGTGAGGGTGGAGAACAATGGGTTAGTGAATGGGTCGGTTGTTGAGCGTGAGTAGCAAAGTGGACGCTCACAGTTGCGTGCCGTACACAGTGTGGAGGTGGACGGGAACCGCAGGTGACTTTGACATGCACTATTTGCCATCGATGCAGGCATTCATTTAAGGAGGCAGTAGGTTGTGGTGTTGGGAATGGAGGAGCAAACAGTGATGGGGGAGTGGGTAGGGAGGTAAAGGAACAAGTGGAATTGTGAATGGGCAAAAGACACTACTTCGTATGCGATTGCTTCACTAACGATCTGTATGCCTCTCCCATCCAATGTCCACATCCACAGCCTCATGTTGACTCAGGTACCTTGACTGAGTGCAGTCAGGCGGATAGGGCTTGGTGGCAATTCAGCATCAAGTAGTCGAGAGAGTCGTTTATTATTCTTCTTTGAAGTGGAGTTGGGCGGACCGTCCGACTGTCCTATTAGTGTTCAGTTGTTATATCGCCTTCGGAGAGGATGCGAGTCTCCGAGCCACACCTTGCACCACGAAGCCATCCCGCCCACTAAATGTACGTATTCTGGCCATGTGCCCGACTTCCTCTTGCTTCCGGGGATAGTGAGTTCGACGGTGAAAAGCCAACCAGACAAATGCACGCATCTACTTTTGCCTGCAAGCTCTTCCCCCACCCCTCACCCACTGCGAGAGGCGGTTTGTTCGACACACACTTTCGCCCACATTTTGTCAATATGGAAGGCGTTTGCTGACCTCCCAAACCCCCACACAGGCAGTAAGAGGGACGACACTACACCTCATCGTATTGGCATGTCATGTCGATGTCACATGACTGCGAGGCGTGAAGTGGGTTCTCTTCCTCAGCCACTGCAACGTGGCGTAACACCAACTCGCATTTCATGAGGACACCATTTGAGAAGCAAAATACGATTCTCGTGGAGAGGAGAAAGGCTAAATGGGTAAGAGGTGGTCAGCAATGAGTAGTCACGCGAAAGGAGCGCCTAGTGGGCAGTAATTATTGCTCAAGTGGTCGCTCCACTCGAATTTCACGTCGGAGGTGGCGATCAGTGCTTCGCCTCGGTGTGAGCACATGTAGGACTGAGGAGAAATCCGATCGGCCGGCTTGCCTCTCCACCACGCACACTGTCACCTCCGCCATGGATCCCGACGCACCGTCACCACCCTTCACCGAGATTGCCTCCTACGTGTGCGATACATGCGGCTCGGCATTCAAGAACGACATCCTCCTCCGAGCGCATTTGGTTCATGAGCATCAAAGTAGGCGATTGTTACGTTGACACGCATCTCAACACTCATACAGGCATACCTCTCATTGTCATGCTCTTATCATTGCGTCGTCCTCAGTAGTAGATAAGACGAGGTGAGGCAGTCCA